TGACATGTTGGCATCTCGTGGATGATGGGGACTTTCCCAGGGCTCCGGAGTGGAATCCACTTCCCTATGCCCACTCTCAGGTGATAGGCACCTAAACTCCTAGAAGCAGATGGACAGGGACTGGGACAATAGGTTCCTAGATCTGCCAGGTCTGTACCATGAACTCACTGCACTCTTGAGCTCCCTGTGACATTGCCCCGACCATGACCCCTCACCCCTGCCACGAGGCGTGCCTTGTGTCTGCTACGTTCTTCCTGTCTCCTGACTCTTCTCGGGTCACAATTCCATTAGAGTTGATCAGGTTTGTTGAGATTTTTTTCCTGCTCTTTCTCTATACCTTTGCTGCTCAGTTTTCTAACTGCATTAACCACACTCCATGTTGCATGTTTTGGGGGGTGACAGGAGTCTGCTCATAGACACTGGCTTTCTAATAAAGACTCTTGATTCAACCTTTCAGAATGTGACTTCGCTGTATCTCTTGATAGAATTCCTGTCTAACATCAGCTGGTCTTTATACTGTCAGTTATGCTTAAGTTATTGTATGATCTGCTGAGTGTGTCCCTGGCCTTAAGTTTGTGAAAAATCTCCCTCCTAAAAAGCAAATAGTGCCTAAAGAGCAACATGAAAGTTAATGGACTTAATTTTAAATTTGTTGAAAAGTGATGTTTCTTTAGTAGAAGTTAAGACTGTGGCATTGTGGGAAAAATGGATCAAGCATCCACAGTACAGTACTGAATTTGATGCATCTTTAGGCATTCATTCACAGGATTTCCTCAACGTGGTCTCTTGGGAACCCTGTACCCACAGATACCCAGTCTCTATTGTATACTTTATTTTCAGGTACATACAGTCATTTTCCACACAGACAATATTCTAGGCCTTAAAGTGAAAAGAATTCATATAATTAAAAATATGTTCTATGACCACAATAGAATTATAACAAAAGTCAAATACAAAAAGACTGGGCTGAGGGTTAACCACAGTGGTAGAGCACTTGTCTAGAATACATGAGGCCCTAAGTTCAATCACCAGCACAGAAGGAAGGAAGGAAGGGAGGAAGGGAGGGAGGAGGGAGGGAGGGAGGGAGGGAGGGAGGGAGGGAGGGAGGGAGGGAGGGAAAGTCAAAACATAATTGAAATAGAAAGATATTTTTAAAAAGCTTGAACTACAGGCCAAAAGACAAATTAAAAATATTTTGAACTAAATAAAAATAAAACAGTAACATCAGAAATTTCAGGATACTGATAAAACAGGACTTTGTGGGAAGGTTATGAACCCCCAAAATCTCAAGTAGATGACCTCAGTTTCCATTTAAGAAACTATAAACCAATAAAGAATAAATTAAATAAAAAGTCAGAAGGAAATAAGTAGCTCTGAAATTAATGAAACAGAAAAATCAGTGAAACAATAAAGTAGTAAGTTTCCTTAAAAATAGGTAAAATTGTTAAACCTCAAATCAGAACAACCATCAAAGAAGAGAAGATACAAATTACCAAAATCAGTAATAAGAGTGGTGATATCCACTCAAGGTCTACAGATACTGAAAAGCAATGAGGAAATATGGTGAGCAGATTTATTCTAGTGATTCCGATCATTTAAAGTAAGTTGAAAGAAATAAAGACTACATAGCCAGGCCTGGTCAAAATTAATTAGACCCTGTCTCAAAACTGAAGTCACACATAGTGGTGCATGGCTCAAATGGAAAAGCTCTTGCCTAGCAGGCATAAGGGCCTGAGTTAAATCCCTAGTACTGTAGTGGGGGTGGGGGAGGAAAGAAAATAAATCAATAATCAAATAATTCCAGGAAAAAAATTGAAAACAGATAACCTAACCAACTCAATGAATGTATAGGGAAATTTCTTTTCTGTAAAGAGAAAACCAGGTCCAGATGGATTTACTACCCATCTAAGTAAGAAATAATTCCATTTGTACACAAACTTTTCCAGAAACTTTTACACAGAAGAACTAGAGGAGACAGTTCCAAACTCAACTATGATATCAACATTACTTTGACATAAAAAGGCAATAAGAAATCTAACGCCAACAATATCTAAAACATATAATATGACCAAAAGGACTCATGCAAGGATGTTTTTTGTCATTCTGCCATCAATCTAATCTACCACATTCGTAGACTAAAATAGAAATCATATGATCATCACTATATAGATGAAAAGAAAAAAATTTTCAAGTACCAATCCTGATTTTTTTAAATGTCTTATTGGTGGTGGTGGTGTCATTTGGTTTTGCCCTTGGTTTGCTTGGGGTTTTTTGTTATTGTTATTGTTCTGTCTTCTGAGGGTGGGTACAAGAAGAAGGAATGACGGACAAATGCAGTTATGGTACTCAATAGATACTAGGCAGAAAATGAACTCTACAATTTGTAAGCAGGGATTGGAGGGGAAACTGGGGGGAAGCAAAGGAAAAGGTGAGATTGTTTAAAAAGAAATGTCCTCAGTACCTAACTTATAAAAAGGTAACCCCTCTGTATAATGCCTTAAAAATAACAACAAAATTACATTTAAAAATAAATCTCTCAGTAAACTAGGAATAAAAAGAAATTTGTTCACTTGATTTAAAAAAAAAATCCACAGCTACTTAGCCACAGCTCAATGCAGTTAAGCACTAGGAAAAAAGAAAATCACAATGATGTACCATCATTGTGACGGTACATCACATCCATGCTAAAATGGCAAATGTGATTAAAATATTTTGTGGAAATGGCTTCTTTCTGGAGGAGATGGGGCACTGGGGTTTGAACTCAGGGCCTCCTGCTTGTGAGGCAGGAGTTCTACCACGTAAGCCACATTCCTAGTCTTTATTCCCCCATTATTTTTTGGTTTCCTTTTTGCCTGGGCCAGCCTGGACAGCAATCCTCCTATTTGCACTTCCTATATAGCTGGGAAGATAGACAGGCACCGCTGCTCTGAGCTTTGGTTGAGATGGGATCCTGCAGATCTTTTGTCTGGACTGGCTTAAAACTGTTACCCTCTTGATCTCAACTTCCTGAGCAGCTAGGATTACAGGCATGAGTCACTGTACCTGGCTTCTCTATGACTTTTGATTAGGCAAGACCAGATCAAATGGCCCGGGTAGAAGGTCCAGCCCCACCTAATGGGCCACAAATGAGAAAAATGTCTCAAACAGGACTAAGGACCCTCAATCCAGAAGTTTCTTAAAGGATTAGCTTCCTGGTAAAAGACAAAAGCAAGACAGAGAATGTGGAAAGCCACTCACTGAGTCTTCAAAGCCACCATTGCATTTCCCAGACAGCAGTTTCTTCTGGAAGCTTCTGCCACCCTCCCTACCCCCCACCCAGCATCCGAACAAAATACATTTTTTGAACCAAGTGCAGAGGGGCTAGAGACCCCAACTTCCCCCTCCCCATCCCTCACACTGTACGATGGTCATGCCACTCACATTAGCATGCCTCCTTCATGCACACCAGAAGTCCTTTTCACTGGACAGGAAGGGAGAATCTGGGGACTGACTTAGCCCTGGGGGCAAGGAAAGCTGTTTGGGGACACTCAAGCCATCTCCAGCAGGATAGGTCTAGTGGGCTGCCAGACGAAAAGCTGTGAGGTTTTGGCAGACAGGCAGCACTTTCGCCAGCCAAAAACATCTCAGCCAGAGTGTATGTCCCTCCCAAATGGAGAATGACTGCCCTCCTTCCCCAAGTGGCCCAGGATACCATGGGGTGTCTCAGAGGAAGGGGCTCTCACCCACCACCTCAGAGAGAAACAGTGAGGTCTGGGATGCAAAGATCTAGTGGGTACCGTCCCCACAGCCTCACACGCCACATGTCACCCATCTCTGCCTGCCCAGGCTGTGGTCACATCCTGCATGCAGGACTCTGCCTCCCAGTTCAACTAGTGTTGGTGAAGCTCTGCCAGATGCACAAGCTACTTGGCGCTTTCTGCTACAGGACAACAGCACCCTGTTGGCTCTGATCCTGTCGTTGCTCTGAGTAGCACAATTTATCCCCAATATCCCTACGGGCACTAAAGGAAAGTGAGGAATAGACTAGGGACAGACCTGGGACAGCCTGATTTCTCAGCTTGGATCCCAGCTTCACATGCCCTGGGCCTGCTATAAACACCATGTTCGGGGGTCGGGGTGAGAGAGAGAGGGAATCATACATTAAGAGCCTGTGGAAGCCTTGTGGCCAACATAGCTACATTCCAGAAGTGCAAAAGGCTCCTGAGACAGCAGATTGCCCTCCACATGAGGCCATGATAGCCAATGAGAAACATGCCCACACAGAGGCTCAGCTTCCAAGCACACCCCAAGCCAAGGCTGCTGCCTAGACCTCCAGCAGGACCTAGCTGCCAGAAAGGGCTTTACAAATGTCAGCATGAGGGCTGAGAAGGTGGCTCAGTGGTAGAGTGCTTGCATGCCTGAGGCCCTGGGTTCGATTCCTCAGCACCACATAAGCAAAAAGAAAAAAGCCAGAAGTGGCGCTGTGGTTCAAGTGGTAGAGCGCTAGCCTTGAGCTGAAGAGCTGAGGGACAGTGCCCAGGCCCAGAGTTCAAGCCCCACGACCGGACCCAAAAAAAACCTCAAATGTCAGCATGAGCCCCTACCCAGCATCATCCATGAGGCACCCTGCAGACAGCATCAGCTCCAGAAGGGTGACAAACCCAGGACAAGGATGGCATCTACCAAGAGCCATGGCTCCCTCAGAATCAGCACTGTGGACCCTAGCTCCTCTGTGTGGGCTCATGTGTGAGGCCAGCCAGTGCCGGGGGCAGACAGTAGGACTAAGCCTCAGCTGGAAGGATGTAGGCTGCACTTGACCCTCATTTTCTCAGGTGGCCTGGGCAGGGCTCAGGTCCAAGCAGTCAATGAACAGTGAGGCATCAAGCAACAGGGCCTTAAGTGCCTTGCTGCAGCACAGCTGAGCATTCTTAGTCTGGCTCACATGACAGCATGGTGAGCCCACAAAGCATCATTCCAGAAGCCATTCTGATTTAACCTCCACAACACAAAACACTGCTTACCGTGGCTAATTCATCAAACTTGCCGAAGAGCTCATTGAGCAGTTTCACCAGTTCCTGAGCCGTGCACTGGGAGGCCAAGCCCGTGAAACCTACGATGTCTGCAAACAGGATGCTGTAAGAGAAAGGGGAACCAGAGCCATCACTGTCAGTCTCCATACCTGTTCATCTAGTTACACTGGAACTTTATGGCCATTCACTAGCCACTACTCACTCATTACCCTCCTCTCCCCTGGGGAACGATCACACCTCACTCAGGTCTGTGAACTTGATGGCCTTAGATACCTCGTGTCCACAGACTCATTTTCCATCTGCAGGTGACTCTTAAATTTCATTGGCATAAATGTCCTCTGGTTTTATTCTTATTTTCACATATTGTAGCATTTCATTTCTCAAAGGATTGCCTTTTATTCACCTCGTACAATTTATTTTATGACTACATAAAATTGTGTTTTGATAAACACCTACACTGTGAAATAATCACTATAATCAAACTAATTAACATGTGCATTGCCTGCGTACAGTCACCACTGTGTCTATGTGCGCGTGCATGGGTACGTGAAGAAGATTAAATTTAAGGTCTATCTTCTTAGAAAATTTCAAGTATACATTCTTAACTCTCATCATCATATTATACATCCGATCTCTAGAATATATCATCCTGCATATCTAAAACTCTGTACTTCTTCAATGTGACCACTGCCTGTCCCTCTACCCTCAGCTGCTCAGAAGCCTTTTCTCCTTGGACAGCTACTCTTTTATCTTCCCATATGTACAGTATCAGACCGATCATTCTGCGGCCTGCTCATTTATTTCACCATAACATCATCTGATGTTCGCTTACTGTCAGTTTATTGGCAAGATATATTTCTTTAAAGGCAGAACAGCATACACATGCTGTATTTTCTCCATCTAGCTAGAGAATTTAGACTGTTATCATACCTTGGTTATTGTGAGCAATGTTACAACAAACATGAGAGTGCAGATATCCGCATTCTATTTTGACTTTGGTTCCTTCAGGTGTATACTCCAGAGTAACACAACCAGATCCCATGACAGATCTGTTTTTAGTCTTTGAAGAAGCTCCACACTGATTTCCATAGTGACTGCATTAATTTGCATTCCCACCAACAATGGATGAGGTTTCTTCTAATTCTGCATCTTCACCATTTGTTGTTTGTTTTCTTGATGATGCTGTTCTGAGACAGAATCTGCCGAACATCTTTTAATATACTGTTTTGTCATCTGAATTTCTTCTATTGAGAAAGTATCTATTTAGGCTGGTGGTCTAGTTTTAAATCAAGTTATTTGCATTTTGGTGTTGAGCTATATAATCTTTTTTTGTTTTGAATTTTATCCCTTATTGGATATATGGTTAAAACATTGTCCCCCAAATTTTTCCTTTTCTTTTTGCTGTTTCGTTTGCTGTGCTGAAGCATTTCAGGTTGACCATATAGTTTTCTTTTTGGCTTTTGCTGACTCTTTTTTATGCCATATCCAAGACCAATATCAGGGATATTTCCCCTTGTTTTCTTCTTATATTTGATCTTATATTTGATCTTATTGATTTTTAATCAATTTGAGTTTATTTTCTGTATATGGTATAAAGGGCCAATTTTATTGTTTGTCATGTAGAGATTCAGTTTTCACAACACAGTTTATTGAAAATATTATCTGTGTGTTCCTTGTTATTGGCACTTTTGAGGACTAGTGGGTCATGTATGTGTGAGTTTATTTCTGGGCTCTTTATTCTGTTTCAGTAATATATGTGTTTGTTTTTATGGCCAATACCACACTATTCTGATCAGTGTTTGTAATACAATTTGATTTTTGTAATATAATTTGAACTCTGGGAATGTAATGCATCTAGCTTTGTTCTTGATTAAATGTACTGTTTTGTTATTTCTATTTTTTGTTTTAGTTTTCTGTACCCTCTGTCTTATATATAAGTTTATATGATATGTGAAAGGGAAAGGGAATCACAGAAACAGCAAGAGAAAGGATGAACTCATGCAACAATGATACTCACTGACACTAACTAGACACTATATTAGAAATGAACTTTACAACTTGGGGGGGAGGAGAGTGGGGAGAGGAAGTAGGAGAAAATGAGGGAGGGGTAAGTGTTCAAAATTAAATATAATCATTACCTTGCTTATATAACTGTAACCCCACTGTTCATCTCTCTCTCTCTCTCTCTCTCTCTCTCTCTCTCACTCACACACACACACACACACACACATCCCAATCTGAAATGCACTGTTTTACCTGACTTATGCTACTGTATGTAACCCCTCTGTACATCAACCTTTTTTTTTTCTTTGTAGGTGATGGGGCTTGAACTCTGGGCTTGTGCACTATCCCTCAGCTCTTCAGCTCAAGGCGAGCGCTCTACCACTTGAGCCACAGCTCTACTTCTGGTTTTCTTCTTCTTTTTTTTAAATTGAAGTCTTTTTTTTTAATTGTGAAAATACCATACAGAGGGGTTACAATTACATGGGCAAGATAATGAGTACATTTCTTATCAATTATTGTAGCCTCCTCTTTTGTTTCCCCTTCCTATCCCTTCCCATCTCCCCCTCCTCCCCACCCCCGCTCCCCCAGGGCCAAAGGTGTAAAGTTCATTTTTTGACATAACGACTTGTGCGTCTCATTGTTGCAATAGATCCACCTGTATCCCTATTTAAATGATTTGTTTTTGCCCTCCCCCTCCACAAATTATACCAACATCAAATACAGTGAGAGCAGGGTTATACCGTGGGGGAGGACATACAAAGCAACACAGAAATCATCTTATAAATATTTAGAAACAATTGCAAGAAAGAAAAACCATTTGAATACTTATCTTGGGGTTCATTTCACCTAACATCAACTTATCTGACCCTTTCTGCTTGACTCAGACATATACTAGTTATTGCAAATAAGAGAAACCATGGGACCTATGTTTCCTTGGGCCTGGCTTACTTCACTTAATATAATTTTTTCCAAGTCTTTCCATTTCCTAACAAATGGAGCAATGACATTCTTTCTGATGAAGGCATAGAATTCCATTGTGTATATATACCACATTTTCTTAATCCATTCATCTACTGAGGGGCATCTGGGTTGGTTCCATCTCTTAGCTATGGTAGATAATGCTGCAATAAACATAGTTGTGCTGGTAGCTTTAGTATGGTCTTGTTTGTGATCATTTGGGTAAATGCTCAAAAGTGGCATTGCTGGGTCATAGGGGAGCTCTATGTGGAGTCTTTTGAGGAACCTCCATACTGCTTTCCAAAGTGGGTGAATAAGTTTACACTCCCACCAACAATACGTTAGAGTTCTTGATTCTAGCCATTCTAACTGGGGTGAGGTGGTATCTCAATGTTGTTTTGATTTGCATTTCTTTTATGGCTAGGGAGGTTGAGCATTTCTTCATGTGTCTATTGGCCATCCTTCTTTCTTCTTCAGAGAAGTTTCTCTTTAAGGCTTTAGCCCACTTATTTATTGGGCAGTTGTTTCTTTGAGGATTTGTTGTTGGGGGATTTAATTTTTTGAGTTCCAGGTATATTTTAGATATAAGACCTTTGTCCATTGTATAGCTAGTGAAGATCTTCTCCCAATCCGTGGGCTTTCTATTGATCTTGCTAGCTATGTCCTTTGCCATGCAGAAGCTCTGCAATTTCATGCAATCCCATTTGTCCAACCTTTCTTTGATTTGTTGTGTTTCTGAGTCTCTATTAAGAAAATTTCGGCCTGTGCCAACAAGACCTAGGGTTTTTCCTATTCCATCTTGTAATGTTTTCAGAGTGTTTGCTTTGACTCTGAGGTCTTTGATCCATTTGGAGTTGATTCTGGTGCAGGGTGATATATAAGGATCTACCTTTAGTTTTCTACAAGTAGTTAACCAATTTTGCCAGCACCATTTACTGAAGAGGCTTGTCTTTCTTCCATTCTATTTTTTTAGCTCCCTTATGGAAAATTAGATGGCTATAGGTCTGTAGGGAAAGATGAAGTAAAACTCTCCCTCTTTGCAGATGACATGATCTTGTACTTAAAGAATCCCACGGACTCCACTCCCAAATTACTCAAGCTGATTCAAAACTTTGGCAAAGCAGCAGGGTATAAAATTAACCCTCAAAAGTCAATGGCTTTGGGGTTGGGAAGGTGGCTCAGTGGTAGAGCGCTTGCCTTGCATGCCTGAGGCCCTGGGTTCCATTCTTCAGCACCACATAAGCAAAAAGAAAAAAGCCAGAAGTGGCACTGTGGCTCAAGTGGTAGAGCGCTAGCCTTGAGCTGAAGAGCTGAGGGACAGCGCCCAGGCCCAGAGTTCAGGCCCCACAACTGGACCACCAAAAAAAAAAAAAAAAAAAAAAAAAAAAAATCAATGGCTTTTCTGTATGCCAACAATGAGAAAAGTGTGGCTGAAATCAGGAAAGCAACTCCATTCAGCAATAGCCCCACAAAAATAAAATTCTAGGAATTAACTTAACCAAAGAAGTGAAGGACCTCTATGATGAAAACTTTAAAAACCTGGAATTCACTGAGTTTTAAATGGTAAATTTGACAAGGACAGCAAATGCTGGAGGATCAAGTCTTCAATGACAGACGACTGATTGTCATCCATCTGGTAGCCATGTTTATTTGCCAAGGTCTTGGCATGGAGATGGTCACTGGAAATCCAACGATGGCTGTGGCAACGGCATCCACACCCAGGAGGTGGAAGAGGCTGGTGTCCGGGTTGATTGGTGGGAGTACCCTTGGGATCCCTTCCCAGTGCTGAGGCCTTCTGCAGCGTGCCTGGCACCAGCATTGCCTTCACACAGACACAGAGCAGGCAGACAGTCACTTCTGATTTTCTAGTGGAGATAAGGGTCTCACGGACTTTCCTACCCAGGCTGGCTTTGAACTGTGATCCTCAGATCTCACCCTCCTGACTAGCTAGGATTACAGGCGCCCGGCTTTGTACATCACCTTTATAATAACAATTTTTGAAAAAAGATTGCCTTAGCTATTTGTGGTCTTTCCATGGTCTTTTTTTAAGTTGCTGGGGATCTCAGTAGAAAGTCCAACTGATTTGGTAGTCCTGTTTGTAGTAGAGATTTTAATAATATTATTTTCCAATTCATGAATAGG